CAAACAAGCATTTGCACACAACAGGTTGGTTGTACATGAGATGTAGTGTGCCTAGGGCAATGATCACAGTTTGGGCAATTTAGTATATGTTCTATTGTTCAGTTTATTCTTCTAACATACAGAAATGGGGATTAAGTTCCCTTCTGTATGTGAGGAGAACACTTTGTCCCAACTGACTGGCCAAACCATTAGGAAATTGACATTACATAATAGAGGTGATCTGCACTGCACTTACATGGACACTCCTGCCCTATTTCCCACAGTATTGTGCTACTCACTTGGGCTCTTCAGAAGGATCCATAGTTGGTGAGGAACTATCTAAGTCAACTATTTTACTGGCTATTGACTGGGAGTGGCAAGTATCTCCTGTGCTCTACTCGAAGATCAGATGGAAGACAACAGTAGGATGACCTAGTGGGAGTGATTTGAGGTGAAAAACATCACTTTTGTTGATAGACAGAGAGAGTAGAAGGGTGACACAAATGGGATAAAAGAAGGGCTATGCAGTTGGAGCAACATAAATAATGAACAAGGGACCTAACAAATCCAATATGTAAAGACACAGATGACAGATCTTTATGAATGAGAGATGTAGCAATGGGTGCAAATACAGGAAAGTTATGAGACCATTTCTGGCTGAGGGCATCCACAACTGGAGCAGCTATGTCAGATACTGAGGACCAGAAGAGGGGAAGTTTTTTATTGAGAGGAGTGGTAAAGACATCAGTCACTGACTTGCCCAACTGGTAATATATCAAAAGAAAGACCTGAGGATGGAGTGATCACTCTATAGGAAAAATTCTGTCTGATTGAGAGACATGAGCTGCCACTAAATGCAAAGCCTTTGGGACATGACAGGTGGGTAAAGAACCTAATATGAGTGCACCCAAAACAGAACATTCATTGTGCCGAAGCAAAGGTCACTGGAGTGAGTCCTACCATGGCAATTGATATGGGAAATAACCATAGCATTGTCAGAATGGATCATGACCAAGTGATCCACAAGTTGATGTAGGAAATTTGTACATGTCTAATGGGCAGACAGAAGTTCCAGAAAATTGATGTGGAAAGTATACACCACATGAGATTAAACCCTTGAAGTCATGGAGTTCTGTAAGAAATGTGCTGGGAAAGAGATGGTGGTGTGGATGTGGGAGTGGCAGTGGAATGCTGACTGTCATATTTACACAATCCAACTACCAAGACAGATCCTCAAGAAGAGAAGGTGGGAGAATAATTATAGAGGATTATGAAAGGTATTATTTTGGTCACTTAAAGTCCACTGAAGAAACCTCATGTGAACATGGCATAAAGGGATTAGATGCTCAAGAGAAACAAGAGTTCCCAAAAAGATAAAACCTCTTGTGCAGGAAGTAAATGAGTGTCAAGAGTTGAGATAATTAGACACTCCATGTCTTGCAGACAAATGGTGGAAAATGAGCCCAATGGAGTCAAGAATTGAGAAAGACTCCAAGGTAGACCAAGTATTGGGTCAGGGTGAGGAATGATGTGGAAAGTTTGACCAGCCAACCCAGATAAGCAGCTTCTTTGAGGAGAAGTGACATAGTCAAAAAAGAGGACTCCATAGAAGATGTGAGGAGGAGCCAAATAATGGAAATGAAGTCCAAGACTGTGGATGTGGCCAAGTCTCGGCTGAATGTATAAGGAGTTGAAGTGATGCTGAAGGGGTACAACTGATCCCAGAGAATGAATAAAAAAAATGCCAGGGGGACTGGGCAATTTGATTATGTGGAAAGGTGTCTGAGATGTTGACCATTGTCATCCATAGTCTGAGGGAAAGGAACAATAGAGATGAATAAAACCCCTAGTCTTTTATTAGACATAAAGATGATAATAAAATTCTGGAGAAGGGCAAAGGATCTTCTTGATGGCTCTTGTAATGCAACCTAGATACACAGAAGACACTGAGAACTGGAAGGAAAAGGAAAAGGAGATGGAGGAAAAGATGAGAATTGAAGAGAAAAGCCCCAAAGCCTCATACAAGAACTTGAATGACTCACCAGACAGCTAGATAAGAGCTGACCCAACTGGGTACAAAGAGAGGTGGTCATCAACAGCTACATTGATGGGAGTGAGAATGATGAGAGTTGGGAAAAGAGACTGGTGGAGGGTTCACAGGATCTAGGAAGGTGTGTAGATTCATGATGTTGAGTGAGACAAGGAAGAAAGGGAGAACTAGTGCTGGGCAGCCTTGACTTGAGTTTCCAAGGTGTTAGGAAAACCACCAAAGACTTCAGGGCAAAGAAAAGAAGCCAGACAGATGTTACAGAGGTAAGAATGATGAAGACAAACAGCAGGGAGAAAAATGTCACGTCACAGAAGGACCCTTCAACAGAAGAAACAAGCAGGAGCAAAGCAGAAAATGAAACCCTGGCCAAGGTTTTGGAAATTACAAACTGTAGATTTCCAGAATCAAGATGAAGAGCTTCAGAGAAGAGATGAAAAAAAGGATAGGTAATGAAAGAGATGTGTAAGAAAAAGGCAAAGATCAGAAGATTGATGATTAAAGAGTTATTGGAGATGGGGTCAGCACCCCAAGTGGGTAGAAAGGACTCCTGGGATTTGAAATTTAAGAGTGGAAAAGAGGACCTGCTATAAACCATGGCAAAGGAATCCTGTATTCAAGTAGGATGAGACATTTGAGAGTGTGAACGAAGCTGATCCAGAAACCTGTCAATGTGTACACGTATGTCTAGTGAAGGAGGAAAACCAAATAATCCTTATCCTGAAAGGCATGTAGTAAGGAACAGAAATAATCAAAAGAAATAGGTGAAAGAAAAGTGAAGAACAAATCTGAGATATCAAATCTACAACTGAATTGTAGGAGCAACATTGTAATCTATAGGTATAGAAGAGCCTAGTGCAAACTGGGGAAGTGGAAAGAGCCAATCAAATCACCATCCTCATTGTGGAGTTTAGAAAGGGGAATGCAATTCTGAAGTAGGAACAGGGAGATCAGATAGTTAAGATATCAATGAATCTACAACACATTCAAAAATGGCAGTAACATCCTCCATGGTCAATTAGCCTCCATTGCATACAGACAAAGGAAAGTCAGTGTTAATGTGCTGGTTGGTCACATACCATAGACATTTGTCAAAAGATATCAGATGTAAAGTATTCATTAGAATATTATTAGGTTGAAAACATAGTACACGTACATGAAAATTTCTATTCATTCATTCCATAATTTTTTCTCAAGCCATCCATATATTTAAAAACTATAATTTGACAAATAAATATATATCTATTTGCTTCTATATTTATTTGAAACCACTGTATACATCATCACTCTACTTGTTGGTCTAGAAATCTGGCAATGATCTGTTTATTTTGCAGTTTTAGCTATGAGAACATCAAAGACCAGTTTCTCCACTTTCAAACTACTAGTATATGGTTCAGGCTTATCATGTTGTTGTTGTTCACATTAACAGCTCAAATGGATAAATTTGTATTTAAAAGTTTTTATTATGATGCTAATGGGCTTGTGGTGCGAGTTCTTGTTCATTTGGCACTAGCTCTATAATAAGTTTGGTGATTGGAGGCTCACACATAAATTTATTGAAATCCTCAAAGGTATGGTCTTTGTTTATGACATAGATCAGTACTAGATCTGTACAACTATGAGTTGTACATTTGTTTTTAATCAGAATGACAACTTCTTCGTCTGCCATTTTGCTTGTTGGATGCAACTGTGTGTGTGTGTGTGTGTGCCCATAATTGAAAGTTCAACTGGGGATGAGTGCAAGATGTTTGAATATCAAATGCTCATGGCTTTTTTTATGAAATTATGGAGGTGGCAAGTCAACAAATAATATCTGTTTCAATTTACTTATTTATCTATTTTTTACTGATAAAATTATTCGGGTCAGGTGTATTTTGCTAGGTAGGATCAGCAAACCAGAAAGACAACATTTTTTTTAGGCCATATTTGTTCAATCTTGTTTTGATGCTAAGATTTATTAGTTACTGCCCAACCCACTTGCTGTGGAATCATGAAAGCCCATCAAAACAGGATACATTGAGAGAAAAGGCAAGTCATGTGAGAAACAAAAATATGGATAAGTATTTCTAAGGAATGTTGGAACTGAGTTAATATAAACCCATACTTTGGAATGTACAGAAAAATCAAAGTGTGCCAACTAACTAAATAAATACTGCAAAGCTACTAAATATCAATTTTTAGATATGTTTGAGTAAAAATGTTGTTTTAGTAGAGTTGGAATTACTATTTTAACTTGTATTGTGAACTTTGATATGCAACCATGCCCTTGAACATTCAGAGCTGCCCTCTGATCATTGTAGTTAATAAATGTATATCATGTGTCATATACTCAACTGAACAGTACTCACAATTTAACTGTTTTGCCATCTTGAGGGAAAGTGAAAAAAAACTTGTAAAAATAAAGGTGTGGACTTCGTATATCTTTAAAAATCTGACTTGTATTTTCCAAAACTCCAGTAATTGTGTTCTGATATTGTATTTCTATCTACAAATAGATACACATTTAATAGTCATTTAATGCCATTATATCCAAATAAATGTTAACCTTTAGAGCAACAGTTGATTTTTAAACTTTCTTTATTATTTTTAGTACAATTTTTGAACTTATTACATTTTTATTTTAGTAACTACTTAAAATTTCATAATTGAAGTCACTTTTATGTTGTAGCTGCAGTTGTTTTAAAATAATTGGCTATTCATACTATTTGACTTGAATTTTGCCGTACCTTTAGATTGTAAAGGATGGTCCACAAATGCTCATCAATAATTTTATAACTTCAAATGGTACAATTATGATTTAGAGAATAAATAATATCACCTTCCTAAAAAATATGAAAATTCCATATTAATATATCAAACATAAAACCTCACAAAACTAGCAATATAACCCAAATGCACCAAAGGGAAACCATAGTGTTATTTTAATCACAACAATACAGTCTTCATGAGCATCTCTTTTTTTTATTTTTTTTAGTTGTGAACTATCAGGACAGTGGTTTTTGCTTTCCAGAAGGATCTGTTATGTGCACCACACATCAGCCACCATATGACCTTCGCAGAAAACTCTCACTTCAAGAAAATAGTTATTTTGGGGCCAATAGTAAGTGTAGTGGAAGAGGAGCAGTTTGTTCTCAGATGATAATACCCCGTAAACGTCTGAAGCGATCCTGTTCTTCCTGTTCTATAGCTTCAGATGGTATGATTCTGTTTTTTTTTCATTGTATGTTATACATTGTTTTAATCCATTGGAAAAGTTGATAATTTAGTATTTTTACTTAGTGCATCATAGTCAGTTAGTATACATTGTTTATTAAAATTACTAAGTCCAAAGAAGATTCTTCAGGGTTTTAGTAATTCAAAATGAATAAATGAGCACATAAATAAAAGTCAAATTTTCATTTGAGTGATTTTTGTTAGAAAATAATTGGAGCTAAACTTAGGGCTAAATCTACAATAAACATAAAAAAAGGGAATTATATTTACTTCTTTATTGCTCTCATATAAGTCTAACCCTCTTCCATTTCATAGGATTACACCAGGTATGATTATTTCCCAAACATTGCATTGGGCCAGGGCATCATAGAAAATGTTTATCTCGTCTGCCCTGACTCTACCATTGCCCATCGTTGAGATGGGGTGTTTCACTATGGGTATTTTCGTGGTATTAAATTTACTCACTTGACAGATCCAGACTGTACCTTTTATGGTATATCATGTAAAAAGCTGGCACCAGAGTAGTGAATGTCCACTTTTTTGATTTGTGCTTGTTAACTGTTAGATATAGGATTTTACAGTCACTCATTGCACTTTCTCCAGTACAAGACCTTTCCAGCAGGTATCCATTGGGAAACCCTTGTCACTTACCAGTTCCTAGCTGCTAAGGTAGTGGACCTTAGATAGTTCCTCACTGATTTTGTGCAACATAATAAGGTGGGAAGTAGGGCAGTGGTGGCACTATATGTATAGTGCTTATCACCCCTCAAACAGCTAGTATGCTCTTTTCCTGCAGCAAGACAGGTGCATCAACTCTGTCTTTTTCTGTACAGTTGATTCAAGGTCCAACACAGCATACGATCTAATTGATGTCTAAACATGCTATACTTCTTGGCTTGCCAACAGCTTGTGTGCTAGTGCTTGGTGAATCAGGCAAATATCATGCTCATTCCTGCAACACTTGAGACTCTTTTACCTTTCCTTTCAGGCAAAGAGTATACCCTGTTTGAGGCAAGATATGGTCTCCCACTTGTATGCACCTATGGACCCCTTGCCATTGGGTGTCACACTTCATGGATTTTTCATCCAGGCACTTTCTGAAAACTGCTCATCTGGGTTTAATATTTGCTCCATCCTATCCACCATTTAAGTGTGGCATTCTAGCTATTCTGTGTGTGGGGGTAAGGATATTGTCTCCTTACCTGAAAATGTATTTCTAATAGATGCTCCTCACCTTTCCACCTATCCTTTCCACTTCCAGTGCACTTTCTTCTTGCCTTCTCTAAGATTAAAGTGAACTTGTTGCAAGTGTTTAGGGGAAGCTATTACAAAAGAAGGTTGTGTCACTCTTCTATTGGTGGAAGTCTATCATTGTATGATGATGATGACAATGTGCACAAGTGCAGTTCATGTTAAACACAGATGGGATGTAGCTGAAGGAGAGTTGCATGCAAACTTCATAGGCAGATGGAAATACATTGGACCCCTCATCTAATTTAAGAAAAACTACCAATATTGTATAGCCCTAAGCATTAGAATGAACTGTGTAGCCACTATTGTTAGAATTCTTGAAAACTGTATGTCTTTCTTTTCAGTATTCGTAGCTTTATGTATTTTGATTACAATTTTAATGTTTATTATGTTAAGAAAAAAATAATAGAAGCACAACTTCCTATCCTTTGTTATAAACTAGTTTTTATTTCACCCATCCCACAGAAGTGTACTCCAGCTAGTTAATGATATAAGGATTATAAGGTGTTTACTATTGTTTTTCACAGTAATATGTAGGCATTATTGAACTTCTAAATATTTAAGTTGTAGTGAAAAAAAACTGTTTTTTTGAAATGTATACATAGTTGTGCTGTTGAGATGGGTTTTTCTGTAAAATTGTTTTAGCAATGTATGTATATTTCTCTTTCAAGCTATATTTATATATCTATTCAAGCTATATGCATGGTCTATCAGTGTAGAACTTGTGCAGTTGTGATATTTCCTGTTCAGACTTAGCATCCCGGTGGCCTTCTCCCCTATTTGAATTCTTCCCTCTTGTTTTATTCTTGTGGAGTGTGGGAGAAATCTTGCTTCCCCAGTCACAAGCTGCTGGGGAAGTTGATATGACGAGTTCCGCATTGGGATGGTATAATTTCACTGATATGAGACTGAGTAGACATACCCATTGATAAGAAGTAGGAGGTAGCTCATCTTACCTGTCAGTGTAATACAGCCCACTTGACTACATTATGAACCAGTCCATTCCTCATTGGTTAGTACAGTCATATGGATTGTATGTTCTCTTTGGGATGAAGGTCTGTAATATTTTCTCCGTACACCTGATTATTATGGATAAGAGTATTCCCTGTTTCATATGAATGCAGTCTCCCACCAAGTGATGTCCCACAAGCTTACTTCTCCCCTCACACCTCCTAGTGGACAACATGCTTCATATGTTTTCATTTTCTGATGCTGTGTTTTCAGAAAGGAGCTTATCTTTGTAATTTCTTTATCTGATCTGGCCCCTACACCATCTTCATTGTGGAATTCTACCTCTTTGTTGTGCAGAGAGGCAAGTAAACATTTCTGAACTTAACATTTTTATTATCTGAAGATGTATTCAGATAGAAAATACTTGCTTCCTCACACCTTCCTACCTGTCCTTCCCACTTCTGATGTACTTCTTTTACTCTGTCAAGATGATTCTTTGTTCATATGTTAGAGACTGGACAAGTTCAAGTTAAACATTTGAACAAAATCTTCTGTGTTGACTAGAAAAGAGAAAGTTGTATTTTTGCTATCACAAGTATACTTCTAGCTCTGTCATTCAAGAACTAGAAGTGTGTTAACAAAATCTTTCACAATGAATTTTCAAATTGTATATGAAACAAAGAGTCTCCAAAATATAAAAATCTGCATTCTAGCAAAATATAAGTCTGTATGGAAAACATACATTAACCCTATTGCCCTGGGTACCCTTTACTGTGCATGACACAAGGTTTTAGTGTCTTACATTCAAAATTTATTAACCTACTTTTTGTTTATGTTATACCAATTAGAATAGCATAAAATGCTAGCTAATAATCCATATTTTAATAGTATGCAAGTTGTAAGTTTATAATTCAACAAGGAAATATTTTTAAAAATCTTGAATTTCCACTAGTATGACCCACATGACACATTTTGTCTTAACATGTCATCATTCTCATATTATCCATCACCCCTCAAAAATGTACGAATTTAAATGCAAATTACTCTCTATAAAATTGTTATTGCTCAAACAAATCATAATTTTTATAGCCTTCAATTTTGTTTGGTTACAGAGCTATTGTAATCAAACTTTCAACAATATTCATTAAATTTTGTACTACAACCAATGAATTACCAATTAAAACATTATGTGAAATATGCTCAGACATAATTTACCGTATGAGCTCTCCTTAATACTAAACATTTTACCACAATTTCCTAACTATGTTGTTTGTCTGAGAGTGGTAACAATACAGTACTTACATAGAGCTTGAATGGGAAAAATTGGTTGAATCTTGCAATAAAGACATGTTCAACAATGTTGTGGGTCTGGGCACAGTTGGGTCAAGCAGCATTTGGATCAGTAACAACTTCTTTGGCAGCAGGTTCAGAGGCTTTTTGTCATGAGCCAGGAGACTGACCTTTTGAACAAAAACATGACTTTTTATACACAATTTCGTTTATTGTCACGATGATTCAAATAGCTTTTCACATTTGCTTTTCAAGTAGTTCTTTTGTCTCATTGGTCAACTTCAATGTTTTATCAATCCAAATCTGTTAATTGGTTATGGTCAAAAGTTGCAATTTGGCTGCATATTTGCATGTATTTCTCCATGGCTTCCTTCTGATCAAAGTTCCTCTAATGATATTTTCTTTCCTTTTTATAGAACTTATTTCCTGCTGTTAATGAAGCTAACATAAACTTTCTCATAGTTTTCTCTCTGCTATAGTTGCATCTGTTTATGTAAATAAGATAAACAGCTGGTTCACATTATAGCCCAGAATGCATCTCAGTTTATACTTGATGTATACATTTGCTTTCTTGGTCAAGCTTTGTTATCTAACTTCTATGTATTCAATATCTGCACGTGTTTTCTTCATCTGAAATGTATTTATTTCATACATGTAATTTTATAAAATTATATTTTTCACTCCTTGAATCATTTGAAAATCTCCTAAAATGCTTCACTATTGTGATAACCTTGGTGATTCACATAGTCCTGTGAATAACCAAGAGGAGAGAAACTTAGTAGCTCCATTAACTGGTGTTCTATAATAGTATTAAATCCTCAATTTGACCAAGTCATATGACATTTTGTACTTGTTTAAAGTATTTATAACTCTCAATATATTGGGTATATCTTCACAAAATTTGACAATCTTTCAGTTAATATTACAAGTCTTATTTCTTAGTGAAATACTTTTAATAAAATAAAATATAGACGTGTCCGAGAATATATTGAGCATTTGTTTTGAATAGTCCGTGTGTAAAGTAATTTTCATGTTAAAATTAAAATACTTTTTGTCATCTCAAAATCTCATATTTCCTTTGTGTAATCCCTAAAACCTCCTAAATGCATTTCAAACATTTGTTTTCAGTAAAACTTTAGTTTATCTGTTATTTTCTCTACCTTATCTCAAAACGGAATCGGTCAATTCGACCAACCTAGTACCCCCCCAAAAAAATCAGAATAAACCTTAATAAACCTTTTTTTCTTTCTAGAATGACTTCAAATTGTAACATGAAACTATATTCGTTTATCCTAAGTAGCTCTAAGTTCATAACATTATACATCTATTTATAATTTTATTTTATTGTTTTATTGCCCTTTGAACTGTGTCTAACTACTAGCCATGCCATTGTAAGTTGTAAATCACTCGGGGGAATGTGCAGCTCGCGTTGTGCTATCAAATTACATTACCCACTAGCTGCTCACGTGTATGCCTCATGAACCATTTTAA